CTCCCATTGGCTTCCCTTACTCCTCATGACTGCAAGGAGTATAGTCACCGGCTGAAGGTGCTCTCAGCGTTTGATTTACGGGTCTAAACTAGACATGCTAAATCAAATGCCAGGATGTTGATCTCCTGTGCAGTGAGTAAAGGCATGCCTGAAGAAAGATTGCATTTGAAAGCTAATCACGAGATTTATGTTCAACCTCAGGAAAATCCATATTCATCAAAGTGAGAATACAATCCAGACAAATACATTAATATTGGCTCTTACTCTTAAGGGCTACGTCTACACTGGCACCCTTTTCCGGAAATGCTTAAAACGGAACAGTTTTCCGTTATAAGTATTTCTGGAAAAAGCGCGTCTACATTGACAGGATGCTTTTCCGCAAAAAAGCCCCGATCGTCATTTTCGTGATCGGGGCTTTTTTGCAGAAAAGAAATCTGTGCTGTCTACACTGGCCCTTTTCCGGAACAGTTTTCCGGAAAAGGACTTTTGCCCAAATGGGAGCAGCATAGTTTTTCTGGAAAAGCACTGATGATTTTACAGTAGATCGTCAGTGTTTTTCCGGAAAAGCAAGTGGCCAGTATAGACAGCTGGCAAGTTATTCCGGAAAAACGGCTGATTTTCCGGAATAAGTGGCCAGTGTAGATATAGCCAAGTTGTATTTTGGTTACTTTCACTTTGTTCTTTTTAGAAGCCTGATAAAATTGAAATATCTAAGTAACTTCCTTTTCAATGTGGCATCTTCAAAGACAAACTCTTCATTAAACCCCTTATTTCTTCTTGTATATTTGGTATATTTGCATTTGTATTTGGAAGTGTTAGGTTCAGTGCATTCAATTTGCCAATATGAGCACTGCCTAAACTAATCTAATAAAAAAGTCCAAATTACATATGTACTCTGGAAGATCTGTTTTTTCCAAGAAGAAAAATTCTGATTTCCTCACACAGTTCAAAACCACCTGACTTTGCTGTGAATCAAAAGTTGAATGTGGTCAGAACATTTCTTCATACAACATACTGTATATGATCATCAAGGATCCTAGTTTTCCTTGATTAAAAACACTCAAAAACTTCTTCAGTAGAAAACCCTAAAATCCATGTTTTCCTGTGATTAAAATGAAATGTTGAACATTAGTTTCCCTAGCCACAATATACTATAGGTATCAGTTGAACACAATGTTATCAGTAAACTCTGTTTATTCTTCCATTATCTGGGTCTCTGTATTAACCAAACTGGGGCTGACAGCCTAGCCCTGGTATGACAAGGCTGTTGCCCTGGGCCCCAGGGTGTTTACTACAGAGGGCTGGATAATGGATGCTTGGCTAAATGGGGTCCTATTGTATATATTTTTATTTTTTTCACAAAAGGCAAAGAAGCTCCTTCTAAAAATGCAAATCCTGTGTTTTCCCATGGAAGATGGATGCCTAGAATCCCTGGTAATCACTACCCAGGATTTTATTAAATGAACAATTTTAATCACAATGTTGAGAGCCGTATATACTTCAAGCTGCAAATTCTTCAGTTACAACATTTGGTGATGATTCATACAGAGTATCTAAATGGATGCAGGTGTCACTTTCTTGGCAGAACAAGGAGCAATGGTCTCAAGTTGTGGGGGGGAGGGGGGGAGGTCCAGGTTGGATATTAGGAAAAACTATTTCACTAGGAGGGTGGTGAAGCACTGGGATGGGTTACCTAGGGAAGTAGTGGAGTCTCCATCCCTAGAGGTGTTTAAGTCTCGGATTGACAAAGCCCTGGACGGGTTGATTTAGTTGGAATTGGTCCTGCCTAGAGCAGGGGGCAGGACTTGATGACCTTCTGAGGTCTCTTCCAGTTCTATGATTCTATGATTCTTTAATTATGCTGTAACTAACATCCATGTTATCTTCAGTCATAGTTGCAGCACCTTACCCAAAATAGCCTCTTCCTCATACAGTCCACTTAAGACCTGCATCCACTATATATTTATCAAGGATCTTAAGTATTTCCTTACTTGTTGTTTGAACTTGGCTTCTTTTTGCAAAATGAAAGTTCAATAATTGTACCTGCTGTGACAGATTTCATGTAAGACAGAAGCTGAACTATTTTGGCTATGTCTGTGGATTTTCCAAGCTTCAATGTAAAATATTTACTCTTTGTAACATGTACTTACAACTCTTCCTGGCCATTTTCTGCAATACCAGTGTATCAAGGATCAGAATTATTTGACATTGGAATGGTCTTCAGTGGCATGGCTGTTCATTCTCCAATCATAATTCTATACAACTATGGCTGCTGGAAGAAGAAAATTCTTGCCAAACACTCATGTGTTGTTTGCAGTTTTCAGTTCCCTTAAATTGAACATAAAATGTTTCTAAAGGAATTTTTTGAGGAATGATTGAATCTTTAGGCACAACTCTTTTCTTTTCTTTTACCCCACTTCAAGTCTTCTTGTTTTTAAAGGAAAAAATTGTGGCCCAGGGGTAAAAATTCCAGGTATTTATTTTCTAAATGTCTCTGTAGCTTCTCTGGCCTCAGATTTTCATTTACTAACACTTACTAAAAACAAATGACACATTGACTGTAGACATAGTGTGGCTGTCATCATAATGTTCGCTTTTCTTCAATTTTTTTGTCAATTTAAATGTATTAAAGTAATCATCATCTTCAGCCAAACATTTGCTACATGTAGGCTTAATATTTGATAAAAATCATTCCATTATAAAGATAAGATGCACAAGAATCACAGAACCATAGAGTTAGAAGGGACCGTCATTTAGTCTAACCCCCTGCCAAGATGAAGGATTTGTTGTGGCTATGCTCCATGGGAGGAAGTCCTGAGTCCCTGGCTGGGCGGGGCTCATTAAGCAGCTGTGGGGCCATGCTGCCGCACAGCTCAGAGGGAACTTTTGTTTGTCAAATACTAACACAGTATTTTACAAATGTTTAATTTCAGTTAATTTGCTGCCAGTGTGAGGGGCACATTTCTCCCCAGTACCTATATAACACTTTATCATTTGTCTAATGGTTCCCATTGGGGCCTCTCCTTAAAGAACAGACTAGCAAGGGAGCAACTAAAGCTACAAGCCTCAGACTTTAAAGTTGAAATGGATATGTTTTGGGGTACTGATCAATTTCTGGTTTTACCTGCTGAATGGCAGAGGAAATCAATAATAAACCAATGCTTGTTTCAGTCGTAATTTCCTGTTTCTACTTTCATAAAGAAAATTGCTCCCAAGCACACTTTAGATGTCAACATTTACCCTAGAGCAAATTTATATTTGAATTATTAACCCCAGAAATTGGGGTTCATAATGGAAACCCTGATACAATTCTAACTATAATAGTTCTAGTGGGCAGTGCCATAAAAAGTGTCAGGAAATCAATGAGCAGATTTTTATTAAAGAAACCCATTTTGCATCACATAATACTCCAGAGATTGATATTTCCCACTTATAAAATTTAACATAAAATTAAATTGCAAATATTTTCTAAAAACCTCCAGAGTCAGGCCTTAAGCAATTCACTATTAATCTGAAGCATTTGTTCAGCTCTAGTGGACATATTTCCTGTATGATTTATGTGAAAGAAGGCATCATTTGCTCCTTCATGGTTTCAGTAATGAGATTTCTTTTCCTGTAATTTGAAGCATAAGAAGCAATGCTAGTTTTTTTATAATTAGGCAAGTAAACAAAGTCCCTTACTATTAAATAATGTAAACTGAGTTTACACATTTTGTTTCTGTTTCCAGGCTTCTTAAATAATATGGAATCTCTAGCGTCAAAGGCACAATTTATCCTTTAATTCCTCTTGTATAATGGACTGGTTTCAATTAGAAGCTGCCCCAGCCTTCTGAGGATCACCTTTTAATTAAAAAAATTATTTTAGTCTGTTTGATGTGTGGCAACACATAATTCTAAAATGGAAGTGTAAAATAAGCTAACTAATATTTACTATAATAAATGATTAAAAAGAATATAGCAGAGGCAAACATTGTACTCAAGAATTCAGTAGTACCAGTTAACTCTACTTAGGATTTTATCACTGGGTAACAAGGCAGCAGTGCTTTAGTGGTGTGGGGAAACAAGCTCTGAAACTTCCACAAAAAGGTGAGTGGCGGTCATCTTTGCAGCACTCATGCAACCCCTGCTAATGTAAGGGCGGGATAAAGGTTCAATCCCTGGCATTAGAAACCCGTTTTTCCATGCAGCAGGCAAAGCAGTATCCAGCTACACTCCATAAGAGGTGTGATAGGTACAGTTTGAGGCTGCTATGGGCATTGTGCTATTTGCTCCTTTTTAGGATGAGTGAGAAGGATTTTTATCTCGCCACCATATTGGCTTCAGTGAAGTGGGGAGCAGTTGCCAGGGACGATTTATTTTGGGGAGCAGAAAAGGTGGTAGGCTAAATGTCATAACTTACGTTGTAAATGTGGGGTGGATGTCCAGTGCAGGTACTCCATAAGGAAGAGACACAGTGACCTGATAAGTGGCCTGGTAAACGACTTAAGAGAGAGGTGCTGGTTAAAGGAACAGAAGGGGGTGAGGGCTTCTATGACTGGAATGGCTGGGAGCCAACCCTCTTTCTTATAGCCCACCTTAACCTTCCTATGAGGGGAGTGGATGGTAAGATCCTGGCAACAGATGTGCGGGAGGGACCTGTATAGAGAAAGAGGGGGAGCTGGTGGAAACCCCTTGGGTAATTATGAAATAAACAGGGGGTTACTTGCACTATACACTTTTATCTGCTGGGAAGTCACACAAATCTAAAAATAAAATTATGGCCTGATTAAATCTATAGCATGTGTCTCCTATCCTTCTTTTGGTATAGTTAGACAATGAGGAGCAAAGTATTTGACATAACTGGATGTAATAAGTGAGAATAGTAGAGTTTGTTCTGTGACATGAACTAATTATTTCTTCTGATTTGAAAGGGAGTACAATGCAGAAAAAGGTTAAAATTAGGCCCAGTTTTGCTACCATGATGTTACAGAAATGGTCCAAATACAACTGATGATCGTTACCTTAAACATTCAATGTCAGTCTGAGGCTTTTCATTAACTTTGACTTTTTCTGCTTCTAAACATTTTGTAATATCTTCAACTTCACGTAGTTGTTCTTCAATATCTAAAAATAAAATAACAATGACCTTACTAATATACATTAATCATCTGTATTCACATACTGCCTGCATTTTGTAAGTTCACACATTTTAATTATTGTGCTAGGAAGGTGAAAATACTACCATGAGGGTGAAAATATTATATCCCAAGGCATGAAATTAAAGTATTTTACAGTTGTAATCAGCAAACAATTGTAATCTTTCAACCATTTGCAAAATCTGCAGGATACTTACTGTATTTGTACATTACATGTTTTATCCCCACAAAGAAAACTTTATGGCATTTTTTTCTTAGTTCAACTACTATTATGTATGGGTTATTTACACAGTATATGTACATTCCAGTTATTTCTATTTTATATGTAAAGCTTTATAAATTTAATAAAAATAAAAGATTGGCTTTATTATACCACCGGTTGGACCTCCCTGGTCCAGCACCCCCAGAACCTGACTGGTTCTAAAGAAGGAAGTTTGCAGGACCGGGGAAATCTGTCCCCTGGCTCTCCCAAGAGGTTGCCAGCTTCCTGGCCGGGCTCCCCTCTTTACCACCAACCTTGCTACCAGCCCCTGCCATCGTGCTCCCTCATTGGCATTGGCCTGGCTCCCTGATCCCTGGTTGCTAGTCCGACTCCACACTTGACCATGGCTGGGCTCCCTGCCCCCCCAGATGCTGGACTAACTATTCTCCTGGCCCCAGCCAGGCTCTGGCCACCAGCCCCCCGACACTTGTCCCCCAACCTGGCTCTGCTACCAGCTGTCAGCCACTGGCCTGGCTCCACAACTGCTCCTAGCTGAGCTCCAACAGCCAACCCCTACAACTGGACAGGCTCCAGTCCCAGCACTGGCTCAGCTCCCTGCCCCCTGGATCAGCTCACCTCCTGGCCCCAGCCAGACTTTGCTTCTGGACATTGGCCCAGCTCTGCTCCCAGCCCTGGCAATCTGGTTTGGACCATGGATGTTGCCGGATCAGAGTCCTAGACCAGAGAGGTTCAACCTATGTTTTAGCCAGATCTCAGAACCAATACCCCATCTTTGTTCTCTTTGACATATCAGCTGCTGTTGACACCATCAGACGTGGTGGGGTGTTTTTATGTATTTGTGTAAAACCTTGTCATCCTTTCCATAACTCTTTTTTTCTTTCCTGATTTTCTTTTCTCCTACACTCTAACTGCTCCTAGATGATAATCTCATCTGTAATCTCATCTGTAACCCCAAATTCAGTAACCACCCCTTTGTTAATGACTCACAGATCTGTCCTTTATCCAAATGAAAATCTTGGTCTCTTTCTCTGACATGTGCTCAAGGATGTCTAGCCATTAACTCAAGATCAACAAAGCTAAAACTCATCTTCATGTCTCCTGCTCATTCTCCCAACCTTCCTTATTGTCAACAACACCACTATTCTGCCTATCATTCATATGCCCATCATTGTCATTGTCTTTGCCTTCAGTCTTTTTGTAGGTTCTCACGTCCAGGCTTAATCAGTCTTGCCAATTTTTTTCAGATTTTTCTCTGACCTTGACGGATGTAGTCTTGCCCAGCTCATAGCCATTGCAAATGATGCTGCAAAGATCATTTTTTCTCTCTGGTCACTTTGGCCCTATCACTCCTCTCTTTGCGTTCCTCATCTGGCTCCCTCTTCTCTATTACAAGAAATATAAAGTCTTTGCTTTCAAAGTCCTTCATGGCTTATCTCCAGCCTAGTTATCTTTAATTCTGTATTGAGATACTGACTCCCATCTCCAGGGGCCCATAATGCCATCCTCCCTTCCTCAGTTGTACAAATTTTAAACCATCACCTTCACGCCTTATCACACGCAGTTCCTCACAGTTGGAAGGGGGCTCCCGATAAACATTTGAAAATCTACATCATTATCCTCCTCCAAAACCCTTCTTAAAACTCCATTTCTGTGATACCAACAAGAAAATGTGGTAGCGGTCATGCTCTTGGTGAACTACCTATTATGTTAAACAATATTCTTTTATTGTGCTTTCCTCACACCCAGCCAACTCTCTGTCTGAATCCATGTATCATCTCATCTTTTAATGTGAAGGGTGTGTCTGTACTGTAATCAGGAGCTGTAACTGCAGTATCTGAAGCACAGCTGAGCTGGAAAGATGAAAGTTGGCTTAAGCAACAGCCAATAGTAGTAGTGAAGCTGCAACAGCATGGTTGGTGACTGCGTGTTTATGTATCCAGGATTCTGGCAGGCAGGAGCAACCTTTGCAGATGCCAATGCTGCTGTTGCTACACAAACTAATTTTGATTTCATGTCTATCTGAATAGGCTTCAGACACACTCCTGGTGGCAGAATGCAATTACTTTTTATGTTGCAAGTTTTCTGGGATGAATGCCACCTCTTTATTCTGAGTATATACAACACTTAGCACAGTGGCATCCTAATCCATGACTAGCTTTCCTAGGCATCATAAATAATGCTTATGATGGTGAATGGACTTCAGTGTTAAACAAACAGGATGACATTTGGACTCAGTGAATGCTGCACTATTTTAAGTGTCTCACAAATAAACCCATGTTATTGCTAGATCCTCTTACATAATAATGTAGATGACAAGCTATCAAAATATGTTACAGTGTACATTGATCAGAGCTGTACTTCAAACAGCAAAGTACTTTGGAGAAAGATTGTTTCAGTATTATAAAGAGAGAAGAGGTGAAAAGGAAGGTGAGGATGGAGAAAGGAATGATGGAGATAAAAAGCAAATGGAAATGAGGGAGAGGACCAATAACTAAATTACTATCAACCTATCCACAAATGATAAAAATAATCAGGATGAGAGTGACACTACTTCCTCAAATGTATAACCATCCTTGTCTTTTATCCTGCTGTTTTAACTTCTGTAAGAGCAGGTCCAGACCCAGATGATCCTGAATTGTTTGATGCTCCTGCTTTATTTGATTCCAGATATGCACACATCACTGGCACACTGACAAACTTTTGCTTTGTCACCTTCTGTTCATTCTTTCATAAATAAAACCACATATTGTCACTCTCTCTCTCTCTCTCTCTCCTCTCTCTCTCTCTCTCCATTCTGCCACTGGATTTCTCGTGTCTTCATTCTAACCCAGTGCAGTATAATCTTTGAAAAACTTAACGGGATAAACAGTTTATTATTAAAGGTAGGTGAACAATGGCTTTTTCCATTTTTTTCAAGGTAAAGTTTTCAGTAAAAAACAAAACTATACTTGAGAAAATTGGTGAATCTTAGTTTGAAAATGTATAAAAGTATATGTCCCAGTGACTATTCATTGTCATTCTAAGTAACAGTTCATAACTTTCATTAATACAATTAATAGTTGTGCCAAAAATTTACTTCTGCGAGAAATACCTGATGGAGCTGTTTGTCAAATATATTTGTCAAATCTCAAATGTTTATAATAATAAGAGGTTATCAGACAAATTAAATACCTTTGAGTTTGCTCTGGAGAGTAAATAAATCCTGCTTTAATTCATTCTTCTGCCACTGGAGTGCATTTAACTGAACATTTTCACGTTCCATTGATTCCATTTCTAAGAAATACATTTTAAGTTAAAATGTATTGCAGTTTTAATCTTCAGGGTATAATCTTAAATACTTTGTAATTACTTTTAACCATCTTCAGATATTCTAAAAGAGCATTATAATAAACATTCAATTAGACTTATAAAACTAGATGCACAAAAAACTATATTTGGACAACTGTATTAATGGGGTGGGCAATAATTTTTGATGGGAGGCCTCTCCAAGATTTTGGTAAGTGATCAAATGCTGCACTTTTCGATGGAAGGATGTGAAGTCTGGGATGGAGTTTGGGAGCAGAAAGGAACTTGGGATAGGGGATTGAAGTTCAGGAAGGGATGTGGGGTCTTGGAAAGGATTTGGGTGAAGGAGGTGATTGTGACCTGGGGTAGGTGATTGGGGAGCAGGAGGGAGTGTAGGATATGGGAGTGAGCTGTTACTGGAGGTAGTGGTGCAGTAGGGGGTGCAGAAGGTTTGAGTTGTGGCCTGGGACAGGCAATGGGTGTCCAGGATGTATTGGGGTATTAGGTGCAGGCTCTAGCTAAGAGGTGCTTACCTCGGCAGCTCCCATCCAACAGCCCAGGAGGACCCTCAGGCGGGTTCAATGCCTATTGCTCAAAATGGCCAGCTGATGGAGTCATATGTGTATCTTCACAGCAAACCATAGGTGGGTGGTAGGGATGTCAACATGCCCACGACTACGTGATTAACCACTAAGTCGGAGCTTATCAGTTAATCGTATTGACTACATGCACTCTCCCCCTTGCTGCCTGGTTATCAGAGGCAGCAAGGGATGGGGGAGCTGGAGCTGGTGCCTATGAGGAGCTGACATAAAAGTTTGGTCCCCAAGAGAATAGTTTAAAACTATTGCTTCAATCAGTTCCGTTTTAGTCATTTGTATTCTTTTGCAATCCAAGATAAAATAGTTTAATGTAAGACATACCATTTTTCAAAATATTTGCCTTCATTTCTAAATCATATGTTTCAGACTTGGCTTTTTTTTTAATCAAAAGATCCCTGTTACACATTAGCCCATATTCATTGTTGAAATCTGTGATTTCCTTAATAAATGTCTCCTCTTCTTCAGCCATTTTCTTCTTTGTATCTGACTAAATAAGTGAAAAAAATACAAATAGCACAATAGAATCTTTGCTCAAATAATCAGGCTGAAATACAGTTTTACCCCCTTTTAACGATAACAAATTGGTATGCAATCTATTTTGTAACCTGTATAAACAAGGAAATGGTCTAGATTTCAAACCTTACTTCTGTTGCATTAATCCTACTGTTTCCTCCTTGTGACAGAATGAAAGGCACATATTCTTAGTATTAGAAACCCTATTATGCCATCAATGTTTAAATATGTGTTGAAATCAGTGGAGACTTCTGCTTAAAAATCAATGGTATAAAATAGCCATTCTTTTGGGTTTTTTAAATTGCTTATTAAGTGTGAAATTCACCCCTTTGTAGAAGTCCAGGACAAGGATGTTGCACTATTTTAACTCTCAAAATACAGCCTGCACTGACTGTTAGGGAGCCTGAAATATGGTTTTTCTCAGTGTCTTCTAGAAGTAGGTCTCAAATTTAAAATATTAGTCTTTCTTTAAAAAAAAACTATTTATTTTATTAAAAAAATTCATAAAATCAACAACAAGATTAAATTCCATTCAAAACTCTTGACTAATTATTAATTTAAATAAATAGTGAATTCCCTTCTCAACAAGGAGAACCCATGCATTCAGTCTGCTGGATAGAGTTAATACCAAACTTACATTATATCAGAGGACAGAAATTTTGCCTTTCCAGATAAGTAGCAGTACTCTAATATTTACTGTATTCCCTATTCTGTCCTAGATATAGGATGATGAATATGGTGAAAACTGCAGTAATATTACTAAATTAGAAAGGCGACTCAAAAAATTTTAAAGGTAGTTCATGAAGTATATAATCTAAAATAATGGATTAAAGTTTGAAGTAGATTCTGAATTTCTTTTTGTATTAATGTGTTAGAATCAAAACAATTTTAATCATTCAGATTTTCATATTTAATTAGTGTCCAATTTATTTACAAAATATAAATCTGAGTGCAGTCACACACTTTTTTGTAGAACTGAACTCTCCTAAATAGCATAATTAAAAACATACAAAGATCTTGAGGAAAATACTCCTTTGATTCATAAGTTCAACTTTCTTTTTCTCTAAGATGTCTTCACGTTTTTTCAAAAGCTGTAAGTAGAAGAGCTTTTCAGACAACTGTTGAACCTTCAAAGATAAGAAAAGATTATTGGTAATAAAAAAAAATCTACACGTGATCTTGACCATAAAGGGTCCTAATCAGACAAAAATCAGTCTGCATAGCTGTTGGACCATGGAATCTTAATGGGTCTCCTTTTCTGATTAGCTTGCAATCTTATCACAATTCTTTGCAGCAGTATCCCCTCTTCAGAGGCTAAGTTTAGTACTATTTCCAGTATAAAAAGTGGCCTGCTTAATTCTCTCCATTCTAGATGAAAAATCTTCTGGCTAAAAACGAGAGACTTAACAGAGCATACAGTCTTTTAGATAGCTTAATACAGGGGTGAGCTTTTCTTCATCTCACCAGACATCATCAAGTCAGGCATAGATTAACTTCAAAGGGGAAAACCCCCCAAAGTTATTGAGCTGGTTTCTGAATGTCTGTGGTTAGCCATAGAGCGCTATTTATGCTTGCTATTACCCTGTGCCTTTTCTACTATACACAGTGAAATAGGGATTGATTGTCTCATAAATTTTCCCAGTATGACTGTGAGAACTATCAGCCAGGGAAGAGTAATGAAGGTACCAAGCTCTGGGCTGAGACAGTTCTGCTATAAAGCTCCAAATAAATGAAAAACCTTCCTTCTGCACACAGTTTTTTTTATTTTTCTATTTATTTTTTTGAACAGCATTTCAACTCCAGGTAGGCTGGTCAACTAATTTGTGCATACCACTCAAGGAGAATTCTTCCAGACTTTTGCAAAACGACCATTGTTGGATGGTTAAAACTAAACAAGGGGGATATGATTTGATACAAGAGCCAATAACTATGGAGCAACTAAGTTATTGATAGACATTAAAGATAAGCACCAGAAACTAATATCTGATGTGATGGTGAGTGAGAACCAAGGAAGGGACTCAAAGAGAGGGCTGAAATGCTCAAAACAATAGTTAAGGAAAATCATTTCAGCAATATTTTGAACTAACAAAAAGGAAGTCAAGTGGGTTTCAGGAAGCCAATAGAGGATGAGTTTGCAGTAGTCAAGAGGAGATATTGCGAGAATCTATATGGGTACGTCTACACTACAATGTTAATTCGAACTAACTTTGTTCGAATTAGTTAATTCGAACTAACGCGTCTAGAACTAAAAATTAGTTCGAATTAGCGTTTTGCTAATTCGAACTAGCAAGTCCACATTGAGTGGACCCTGAACAGGGCTTAATGATTGCCAGAAGCAGTGCCTGCTGGGCATCAGAGGAGGACTTAGAGTGTGGAGATGCTGTCTCAGGCTAGCCGAGGGCTGCGCTTAAAGGGTCCCGATCCCCACCCCGGACAGACAGTTCTAAGGGGTGCCCCGCTTGCAAAGCAGTCCTGGCTTGGATTGCCCGGAGTACCCACACTGGGCACATCACACCACTCGGCCATCAGCCCGGCTGCATTTGCCGCGGGCTGCCATCTGGGGAGAGGGGGCAATCGGGGGGCTGCAGGAGAGCTTCTACCCCCAGAAGCCCGCAGAGCCAGCCCAGCCCTCCCCCTCGGGGGCTCGTGCCCCATTCCGCCCTCACCTCCTTCCACTTCCCCTTCCCTAGCCCCCCTTCTTATTGATGTACAAAATAAAGATAACGTTTCTTCCAACATTGACTGTCTTTATTGAGCAAAACTGGGGGAGACTGGGAAAAGGAGGTGGGAGAGGGGAAGAGAAAGGCTGGGAGAGGGGAGGGCAACTAACATGATCAGGGATTGGGAACAGGTCCCAGATGAAGAGAGGCTACAGAGACTGGGACTGTTCAGCTTAGAAAAGAGAAGATGGAGCGGGGACAGGATAGAGGTCTCTAAAAGCAGGAGTTGGGTGGAGAGGGTGCATTCAGAAAAGTTCTTCATGAGTTCCCCTAAAGAAGGACTAGAGGACACCAAAGGAAAGGAATGGGTAGCAGGCTTGAAACTAGTAAGAGAAAGTTGTTGTTCTTCCCAAAGCAAATAGTTAACCTGTGGTCCTTGCTGCAGGAGGCTGTGAAGGCTACAACTAGAACAGAGTTTAAAGGGAAGTGAGATCAAATCATGGAGGTTGGGTCCATGGAGTAGTCTTAGCCAGGGGGTAGGAGTGGTGTCCCTGCCCAAAGTTTGTGGAAGGCTGGAGAGGGATGGCACGAGACAAATGGC